AAAGTATAAGGATAGAGGGAACATTCCTGAACTTCATAAAATCTATCTATGAAAGACCCACAGCAAATATCATCCTCAATGGGAAAAAGCTAGTAGCCTTCCCGTTGAGATCAAGAACACGACAAGGATGCCCACTCTCACCACTCTTGTTCAACATAGTACTAGATGTCCTAGCAACAGCAATCAGACAACAAAGAGAAAGAAAAGGTATCCAAATTGGCAATGAGGAAGTCAAACTCTCTCTCTTCACAGATGACATGATTCTTTATATGGAAAACCCAAAAGACTCCACCCCCAAACTACTAGAACTCATACAGCAATTCAGTAACATGGCAGGATACAAAGTCAATGTAAGGAAATCAGTGCCTTTCTTATACACTAACAATGAAAATACAGAAAGGGAAATTAGAGAAACAATTCCATTTACTATAGCACCAAGAACCATAAGATACCTGGGAATAAACCTAACCAAAGAGGTAAAGGATCTGTACTTGAAGAACTACAGAACACTCATGAAAGATATTGAAGAAGACACAAAAAGATGGAAGACCATTCCATGCTCTTGGATTGGAAGAATAAACATTGTTAAAATGTGTATACTGCCCAGAGCAATCTATACTTTTAATGCCATTCCAATCAAAATTCCACCGGTATTTTTCAAAAAGCTGGAGCAAATAATCCTAAAATTTGTATGGAATCAGAAGAGACCCTGAATCACTAAGGAAATGTTGAAAAACAAAAATAAAATTGGGGGCTTCATGTTACCTGATTTCAAGCTTTACTACAAAGCTGTGATCACCAAGACAGCATGGTACTGGCATATAAACAAACACATAGACCAGTGGAACAGAGTAGAGAGCGAAGATATGGACCCTCAACTCTATGGTCAAATAATCTTCGACAAAACAGGAAAAAATATACAGTGGAAAAAAGACAGTCTCTTCAATAAATGGTGCTGGGAAAACTGGACAGCTATATGTAGAAGAATGAAACTCGACCATTCTCTTACACTGTACACAAAGATAAACTCGAAATGGATAAAAGACCTCAACATGAGACAGGAATCCATCAGAATCCTAGAGGAGAACATAGGCAGTAACCTCTTCGATATCAGCCACAGCAACTTCTTTCAAGATATGTCTCCAAAGGCAAAGGAAACAAAAGCGAAAATGAACTTTTGGGACTTCATCAAGATCAAAAGCTTCTGCACAGCAAAGGAAACAGTCAACAAAACAAAGAAGCAACCCACGGAATGGGAGAAGATATTTGCAAATGACAGTACAGACAAAAGGTTGATATCTAAGATCTATAAAGAACTCCTCAAACTCAACACACACAAAACAGATAATCACATCAAAAAATGGGCAGAAGATATGAACAGACACTTCTCCAATGAAGACATACAAATGGCTATCAGACATGAAAAAATGTTCATCATCACTAGCCATCAGGGAGATTCAAATTAAAACCACATTGAGAATCCACCTTACACCAGTTAGAATGGCCAAAATTAGCAAGACAGGAAACAACATGTGTTGGAGAGGATGTGGAGAAAGGGGAACCCTCTTACACTGTTGGTGGGAGTGCAGGCTGGTGCAGCCACTTTGGAGAACAGTGTGGAGATTCCTCAAGAAATTAAAAACAGAGCTTCCCTATGACCCTGCAATTGCACTACTGGGTATTTACCCCAAAGATACAGATGTAGTGAAAAAAAGGGCCATCTGTACCCCAATGTTTATAGCAGCAATGGCCACGGTCGCCAAACTGTGGAAAGAACCAAGATGCCCTTCAACGGACGAATGGATAAGGAAGATGTGGTCCATATACACTATGGAGTATTATGCCTCCATCAGAAAGGATGAATACCCAACTTTTGTAGCAACATGGATGGGACCGGAAGAAATTATGTTGAGTGAAATAAGTCAAGCAGAGTCAATTATCATATGGTTTCACTTATTTGTGGAGCATAACAAATAACATGGAGGACATGGGGAAATGGAGAGGAGAAGGGAGTTGAGGGAAATTGGAAGGGGACATGAACCATGAGAGACTATGGACTCTGAAAAATAACCTGAGGGTCTTGAAGGGACAGGGCTGGGAAGCTGGGGGAACCAGGTGGTAGGTATTAGGGAGGGCACGTATTACATGGAGCACTGGGTGTGGTGCAAAAACAATGAATACTGTTAAGCTGAAAAGAAAAAAAAAAAGAAACTTTCTCCTCTTTAGAAACTATGTTTATTTTTAATTTTTTTAAAATGGAGATATTTTACAATGTCAGCCTAAGGGATATATTAGCACCGTAACTACTACTGACAATGAACTAAGTTTGCATGCCTTGCTGAGGCGCCATAGTAACAATTAATCTTAAATTGAATGTATATGGTAGTTTCAGTTTAATTCTTAATAGGTTATACTGTACATAATAAAATTGATGAGTAACTTTTAATTAGCTAATGACAGCCTAATCTCAAAGACTATCTAATTTCTCAAAGACATAATAATTCTTAAGAAAAATATACAAAGCTTAGGAGAAATACAGAACAGTATTCTTACTTAGACTATTTAAGCACAGAACACAAGGGCAAATGGAGGGGAGGCTATTGACCTTGGAAGTATTCCTGGATAGTAGTAGTTAAGAACCAAATAAGGGTCTGGCTGCCTGGTCTCAACTCTTGTCTTCTCTATTTTAGCTGTATTGGTCACATAGCAGAACCTGTAACAAATTTTTCAGCTCCATCCACTACGTTACTCAAAAACAGAAGTGAATGAAACGAGAAATAAAAGAGGGAGAACAAATATAAGAATGGTTTACTAATCTAGCCATCACTTAATGTCAAGATGATTCAAACTCATGAGATTATCATTCAAAAGATAAACTTTAATCAGGACCTTTATTTTCAGGTTTGGAGTAGAATTTATCTTCTGGCTCCCATCTCTTAAGGACCAATTTCACCCACTTGATTGTGATTTCTTGGATGCACTTGTGGTGGCCCTGAATATACCTACATCTCATTCTTCCAGGAAGAGGAGAGTGCCAGAGGAGGTAAATGGTTTTCAGAGTATCCATGGGGTAAGACACAATTGGATTACATCTGATGAAGGCTGCTGAAGTCCACACACTGTAGGTTATCAGAATAGTGGCTTAGTCTGCTGCCAAGAGTCAAGATTGCCAGAGATGAGGTTGAGATAATCTCCAGTAGCAACTGAGAAGTGTCTGTCTGACCAGTCCTCTACTGATGCTTTTCCTTAGTATGCAGCTACTAAATATAACACAGTACCTCCATATTTGTAGGATGTCCTCACTTCTTTTCCAGGAGGTGAGGTACACTTTAAATGAGTCATGAAGTTTCATTTAGGGGCATCATCTCCTTTAAGCCAGTTCATCTGTGAAGCAGTCCTAATTTTATTCGTTGACAGAAGGCCACAGATATGACCTTGAAGGAGAATGTCAATGCAATTGAGGTTAATGATATGGGAGTTCTGGCCACGTGTTCATCTGTTTTTCTCATGCTTTCTAGATCTGCTGAGATTAAATCCCATATACCATTTGTATTGTATGATGGGTTACTGCTTTACACTCCCAAATTTATGACTCAGCAGGTCTAATAATACCTAAGTTAGGAAGAGGAAGGGTGGTTACATGGACATCTGGCATCCTGTGGTCAGGATCTTTCCCTACTTGGACATAGTGGAATACTAGATGTTACTTTTTTCAATGAAAATTAACTTGTTGGATATAGAAAGCTTGACTTTGCTCTACAGTCTATGATTCTACACATCATTTTTTTCTTCTGGAGGCTTGCCAGAGATTCAATATAGCATTTTAAATATACCATAGATATCTCTAGCACTATCAGATCTTCTGAGTCACATATTTTGAGTGATAGAGCAGCTTGCACCACAGTCTTGACTTTGCAGAATACTTTCTTGCTGTAAGTCCTGCTAAAAAGTGTTATTTTATGAGTCATTCAATAAATGGATCATAACAGTATTTTAAAGAATGTTATATGCTGCCTCAAAAAATCCAGAGCCTCATCAAGTACTCTAAGTAAGAAATACACTAAATTTGTATTCATCTTAGAAAAAAAAAAATGTTTTGATATGCTCTAGTTGACTTGAACCCCTAAAGTATTCCCTGATATGGAAGGCTCCTACATCTTCAACAGAATTTTTCTTCACTCTCTGACCTCCTGATATATTCCTAGGGCTTATAGAACACTTGGTAGTTTCTAATTATTGTGTTCCATTAGCGTGACACATAATTATAGTAACCCGAAATGATGTTTTGCAGAATAATAGGATCAGTGTTCTTGCAGAACATATCATGAGCATGAGAATTATTTAACATAGCCCTCTGATAACGAGTGAATGCTGTCCCCATTATGTTATTCCTATTATGTGATGGCAAACTAGTTCTGGTCCTCCTTTCTGTTGGAATCAAGAGGAATGTAATTGCCAAATAAATTCATATGTGTTAAGTGCCAGGGGAATGTAGTATCGCATCAGTAAATATAACATATTAAGCATGCGGTTGCACTTGGGGCTATATCATAGGTAAGTGTAAAGCAGTCATTCTATAGCATCTATCAGTTAGGATCAATTAAAAAAAAGATTTTTATTACTTATGTATTTGAGAGAGAGAGCACGAGAAAGTCAGCACAAGAGAGAGGAGGGGCAGAGGGAGAGGCAGGCTCCCCGCTGAGCAGGGAACCCATTATGGGGCTCCAACCTAGGATCCCAGGATCGAGACCTGAGCCAAAGGCAGATACTTATGTCACCCAGGTGCCCGTGGGATCAGTTTTTCTTTTCTTATTGACTTTTTTCTAACAGCTTAGCAGATGAATTACATGGGAATATCATAGGAAACACTACTCCTGTTTTCCTTAAGTATTTGATGGTGATGCTTATCATTGTAATTCCTGCAATGTGGTATGGCTTTTACATATTCTCCAGGATAGAGGGGAGCTTCTAGTTGGTTTTTTGGGGGATTTTTGCTTGTTTTTAATATGGCACTCTTCATGAGTTTGCATGTCATTCTTGTGTAGGGTGTGTGCTAATCTCTGCATCATTCCAATTTTAATATATGTGCTGCAGAAGCAAGTACAGGGTTGTTTGTTTGTTGATTTTTTTTTTTCCCTATCAAAATGGTTCTTACTCCACAGATAGTAGATATATGTGAGGATTCTGTCAGGTGTTGAGTATATCAGTATTCAATTACCCACCTGGGGACCAATGAAATAACTGTGTGTTAGTTGTATGGACATGTTAGATACATTGCATTGTGACACAGTCTTGGGGTAAAACTCTACCTATCATCAGGCATCCAAGGCCTCTACTCATGGTATATCAATTCCGCCATTATCAGTCTCGGTTCAGAATCTTTGTTTATCAATCCTTAATTCCTGTTTCCAACTATACAGTTATACCAGTATTCACCACAAGTCCGTTTTGAAAAAGATGAGGGAAGTATTTACCTAATTTACTTGCAGTAATATGGCTGAGTTCACTCTCAGAGAGACCTGGATTCCCCTTCCAACCAATGGCTTTTTGGTCTGTGAACTAACATAAGTCTGGAATTGTTGTGAGGAAGCACAACTTTCCATTTTGATGGCTAACCCCAGTTATCAGTTCAAAAGCTATCAACTTATCTATTTATTTTTTGTTATATAGGTCAAGAAACACTCTACTCCACTTATCTATCTTTTCTCGAGGACATTATGATCTATTTGCTATCACCATAGATATGCATATCAAGACACCCTGATTTCCATTATAGCCATGTTAGCTATTAGAGTAATTAAATCTATCTTGCCTCTGAACATTAAGTGCTTCCACCTATACTTTTTCATTTCAGAATCTAATTACTCCTCCTTACCCTGGGGAACACATTTTCATGGCATCATCTTCCACTGCCATTCAATCCTACAGAGGACAGGAACCATTAAGTTGGTTTCTCCTTCATGCCCTAGCAATGTTTCCATATTGCATTACCCCAGTGAAAGAAATGGCCTCTTGGAATACTATGGGAAAATAATTTGATGGTACATTCTCAAGTTTATATCACAATCCATCCTAACATCTCTATTTCCTTGAGTATTTCTTTTTACCTTCATATTTTGGCAAGGAAGTACTGACATTCCCACCCCATTTCCTGTAGGCTAAGACTGTGTCCAGGCTTCAAAAAATCACCTCAGCAGATTCTGAGAGATTGTCTCTAATTCATGCATTGACTCTAATTTTAGGAATGAATGGCTTAAATTCAATAAATTTTCCCACATTATTGTGTTTGTTGTGGTGTGCTTCCCAATTCTGTATTCAGGACGGAGGTATGGTTTTCCCTGGCTCTTGCCAAGTGCTGGTCAATGTTTCACAACTGAGTCTGTTTCTGAGTATTGTCTTTGGCCATAGAGAGTTGCCTCAAACAAATTCTTCTCCCACCAGTGGTCAGCATACATCAATGACTCCTCTATGAAGCTATTCAAAGCCCTTTTCCCTTGATACAACTTCAGACAACTTAGGTGGTCCAGAACTCTTTATGGGATTGACTAAAACCCAGCAGTTCAGTTTTTCCCTTTGCCCAATCCTGTTCTCCTCCCCAGCGACCCAAGCGATATTTCCAAGAGTGCTCTTTAGTAAAAGCTTGCATGCGAATCTCCATCTCAGAGTCTATTTCCCAGGGAAGTTTACCCATACCAAACTTAACAATTTACAACTATAATCTGACACTTTTAGGATACACTGCCACAATTATCCCACAGTTTCTATCCTGTATCTGTCAATAGGGTCCTATAATTCCAATTGGTGTTTAAATGACTTTGTCCTGGAGGGAGTACTAGATTTCCTTGCTTTGTAAGGGGACTGGAAATACGTGTTGACCATGTAGCTCATGAAAAGCACAAGTGGCTTTTTGGGAGGCACCTGCCTCTCTGAGGCCTTCACATGTGCTCCATTCTAGAAAAACTGCTCTCTTCTTTCAAGGGGGACAAACTGTTTAAAAATCTCAGTTCTGTCCAAAAAAAGCCTCCATCTCCATTTTCAAAAACTTGCTCTTTTCCAACTACAATCTTAAACTAAATAGATGAGATCTCTCAAGGCAACATATTTGGCTTCCTTTGTATTTCTTTCACATTTAAAATTAAATTTTGGGTCTGATTTTCTGCAAAGTGCCCTGTACCCGTAGATGTAGAGGCTCTGCATAAATGAAGCCATACCGGACCTGTGGCTTTCAGAGTGCCTCAAGTTGGCAATTGACTGCTCTAAGCCTATAATTGTCTCTTTCAAAGATCCCAGTATCATTAACAAAAGCCAGCCCAGTCTGCAGTCCCTATAATTATCATTGTCCCACACCGTATAAGCATACCACCACTGCATATCTTAAGGTCTTATCTTCCACCTGCACCTTATCCCAATTAACCACAAGGGAAAGCCTTAGTAATTGTGATGTCATGCTATGCCAGAGTTAATCATCAGCCCCTGTAACACTAGCAAAGGTATCCCTATTGCAAATAAAACTGGTCAGTAACACAGCTTTAAAAAATTATCCTAAGGGTCCACTTTCTAGGGCCATTGCTGATATCAGCTGTCTTAAATTATTTCTTAGAAACAGAGCCTGAAGCAAAGACTTATGTATTAATGCCTTCTCCAAGAGTATGATTTTTGGGAACAGGGTTGAGAGCAAAGGAGATTGAGACAGGGAAAAATGGAGAGCTGATACAGGGGTGCAATCCCTAACTAACCACTGCGTAGTATTCGGTATGACTGATTGCTTTATTCTCATGGGACTATCTCCCTAGAGGTCTTATTAAGGACTGTTTCTCAGGACAGGGTATACATGGAAAGGAATGGAGAAGAATTTATTCTCTTCTTGCTGTAATCTCCTGTTGGTCAAAGCTTTACCTTCAGTGTTTTATAATATCTTCCAACTTCTAGCTTGCTTTGATGTAGGCACTGGATGCTCCCATGGAGTCTTATGCCTTAACATTAACAGGAAGTCTGGGAAAAGGGCAAAAATTGTACATAGGTTCTATAAGGAGAAGAACAGTAATGTTGTAGCCCTTTGAGTTTGGCCAGAATTCACACAAAGGGGATTTCGATGGCTGTGCCTGAGGCTGCAAAATTACCCAAATGCCCTTGTAATAGGTAAAACAAAGAAGATAGGAAGGGATATTTAAATGTCATCTGATAAGACTACTTACTAACTTTGTGATTTTTTACTTTGTCCCTTTGACTCCATTGTTTCCTCTGTAACATGGAACTGATAATTGCACTGATAATTGCACGATCTTAATTGGCTGCTCTTTGAATTATAAGATATCTTATTTGTAAATATTTTTTACAGTTCTTAGACCATACATTAAGTGTTAACCATTGCTGCCATTTCTGTGTAGGAAAATTCTGGCAACCTAAATGAAAATTTGAACTATCTCTAGTTATTATTTAATTGTTTTGTAAAACGCTGTGCATATAGAGTATCAGAAAAATATTTGCTAGAGGAATTTGGGTTATTTTATGTCATTAAGCAGTGAGGGAAATAGTCATTAAATTCTGGGCCTGAATTGGTTTCTCATTTTTACTTAAAAACAGAGATAATCAGCTTGAAGATAACCAATATAAAGGAAAAGAACATCTTTTCCTTTCTCTTACCATTTCCATAGAAGTAGAAAAACCCAACCATAACTTTTCCTAGATTCAATTTATAGTAAATATAATTGTAGACTAGTATGTCTGGAGACTCTTTCAAGGTTAAGACACCTACTCATATGCACATTGTAGTAGAGATCAGATGGTTTTGCCTTCTTGATATGCAGTATGTATTCCTTCTCCTATCAGAAACTTAATTTACTCTTGAGAAACATCTGTCCCATTACTGGGTTAAGTTATTTAGGAAAGCTAACCTAATTCTTGGATCCAGGGGTGGATGTGATGCTGGTCTGGCCAATCCACATGTTCAATTTCTCATGGTGATTGTCTATCACTTCTCGGCCTCTTGGCTGACCAAGTGTAGTCTCAGTGATTGACTCAGAAAGGATCCCATGACCTGAAGCAGTCCAACGAAGACCATCTCAATATTTGTGGGAGACATGAGTATCAAGATTACTGAGAATGTAAATGTGAGCTTGAAGCTCCTATGCTCATACTTCCTCTATGTTGGGAATATTTGTCTGAATGATGCTAATGAAGTGAATGCAGAATGAAATTATGGCAAAAAGGAAAAAAAAATGAGGGGTTGATTTTTATGACAATGTTTAAAGCCTAGTTCCAAGTACTCCCAAAACTTGCATTATCCTCAGGCCATTCAATTATCACCTCCATTACTATTAATACACTCACACTACTTTGATTTAGTGTTCTGTGATCTATAATAAAATGTATATTGGTTCATTACTTATATATTTTGGTTCATTAGTTGTAACGAATATAACTGTTGTTATAGAGAATATTAACTCAGGAGACATTAGGTGTGGTATATAGGAACTCTCTGCACTATCTCTACAACTTTTCCATATCTAAAGCTACTATAAAATAGAAAGTTTATTTTTAAATGTATCCTGCATAATTCAAATCTGGTTTGTTATGTCATAACTACCCAAAGGTAAGTGGATCCTCTTGCTAATAAATCTGCACTTAAGTCAAGAAGGCAAAGGACACGCTTTTCTGTGATATTCACACTGGGGGAATCTGTGCTCCCTGAACCTATAGATAGAAAAATTTTGAAACACATTCTATATGGTCAGTTTTTGGCAAATAAATTTCAGTGAAGTAGAGATGAAAGAGAAGGAAAAACACGGCATTTCAATCAGTCATTCTGATATAGGGTCTAGTAAACAATGGTTTGCTTTCTACCTTGCTTTTCTAGTCATTTTAATGCCTGCTCTATTTACACTATAGAATACTATAACTAGATGTAGGCTCTTTATTTTCTGTTTTCTCTGTCAATCTTGTATCAATCAGAGTTCTATTTTCAATGTGGCATTTTCTTTTTGTATTGCAAATTTATATACTTTTTCCCTCAGAGCAGTCTCTTCAAACTATTGTATATTTAAGTCACAAAATAATACCTCATTCTTAAATAACAGACAGTAAGCACTGTTTTCAATTGTTGTT